TTAGATAGAGTAAAAACAATTATTTATCTATTGTATTTTTAATTAAGTGAAAAAAAACAACTACAAAATTAAGAATAAATATTTGTTCTTCGTTTTGAAGCACACAAACGGTAATTTTTTGCAAAAATCATGATTAAGAACAAGATTTACCGCTAATGAAAGATTGAAAATATAAAAATGCAATGAGTAAAAGTTAAAAAAAATAAAAATTAATGTAATTAAAATATTGTGTGTTTATAAAAGAATGTAATGTAAATATAACCGACAATTTATAATTTCAATAACTTATTTCTTAATAAGTCATTGTTTGGGCCCCGTTTTGGAGAATTTATAAATTTTGAAATAGTAATTGATTGGAGAATGTGTGAAAAATAATGAAAAAAATTAGATTTGTGTGTAATATTATTTTATTTGAGAATGTGTTGTTAAAATTAAGAAATAGAAAAAATTAAAAAAATTAAATATGGCCAAATAAGGGGTAAATAAACTTTTTTACAGTACTAATAATAAACTTGCTTATGAGTAAATTTTTGAACTTGGACAAATTTCCTGGAAAATACATAATTTGACTTGATGATATAATGATTTCCTCTATTTGATAGCATGTTTGATGTAGATTTTAAAAAAAATATGTGTAGTGAAAAAGCAAAAAAAAAATTTTAAAAATGTGTAATTAAAAGTAAGATAAATTACGAGTGATGTTATAAAACTCTGATTGGATATTTGGATGGCAAATCTACATGGTTCGATCTAAATGAATCATTTATTTCACATGCAATTAAAGCATTAAAAACCCACTCGAAACGCCAAGTTTTCAAAAATTCAATGGCCCAATTTTAAGTGAATCGAGCATGCCATTAAAATACATAAAAACCCAAAGCCCATGTTTGTCTTTGTTTATAGAAAATTGAGTTTTGAATAGTGATTTTATTAAAAATGTATGGTTAAAAAGTTTGAAAAAAATTTGAGTTATGTGTTATTGTGTGAATATGTGGTTGAAAATTTCATGATATTCTCTATTCTACTTGATTAGCGATGTTGTAAAAATTAAGAACCTTTAGCTGTAGTTTCTCCCTAAGAATTCAAACTACATTTTTGTCTGATCTCCATTATTTCCAAAAGATGTTATTTAGTCTGATTGAGATTATAATCGCATCTATGTGGTGTTAGGTGATAGATTGAGTGAAAGACAAAATTAAATGACTCATTTAATTTCACTTATCATATAGCCCTCGTTTTGCCCCATTTTTTCCCATTAATTCCCATTACTTGCCAATTTTTTTCAAACAAGTGAGGGCCCCATGTGTCATATGTTTCAAATAGTACAAGTAGCGTGAAAATTTTGTCAACTGCTCTCTTAATGACTGAGAAATTTACAGTATCAACTACCACGTTCTTTATGTTTTTTCTATTTTTTGCATTCCACGAGCAACGTTAAAAAAAAATTCCACTACAATAAAAATGATTTTCCGAATCGATCGCGACTAGTGTTTTGATACCTAACGAAGAGCTTGAGCCATATAATCACGTAGTTCTTGCCGCGGTACGTCCTCGTCCCCAATCGCGTCCTCCTCGTCGCAATTTCGTCATCCTCGTCTGGAAGATCAACCTCAACTTCGTCATCATCGGCTTCCTTCGCTCTATGAAAACCTTCATCGATTCTTCCGTGTCGTCCCAAAAAGTTATGCACGACTATCGTTGCCACGACAATGAATGTTTGCTCTCTAAATGAGTAGCTAGGCATTCGATCCAGCATTTTCCATCTCTGCTTCCAAACACCGTATGTCCTCTCAATAACGTTACGACATGATGAGTGATGAAAATTGAACCTCTCACGTGCATTCCGAAAACAT